CGAGGCGACCGCCCGGGAAGCGCGGAGCGCGCGGGGGTCGGTCCGTGTCGCAGCTGCGCAAGCCGGGCCGCGGGCCCGCGGGGAGGCCACTCACCATGTTCACTTCGGAGACCATGTCTATGCTGGCGACATCGATCCGCATCCCGACGTCCACGGGGGGCCCTGCCGGGGAGGTGGGGCCCCATGAGAGGCAGAATCGCTGAGTGACAGCGGGCCGGGGGAGGTGGCGGGGGTCTTCCCAACCCTCACTACCTCCCTAGCGGGTTTCCTTCCCCCCGCCCCCATCTGCCTCCCCTTCCGCAGGGGGCAGCCTGCGAGGACAGGTGTGGCCCGCGCGTGATGCGGCGCCGGTGCCGAGGGCGTGTCGGGCCGGGAAGGTCGGCTCAGCCGGGACCCCGCGCCGGAGACTGGGGGTCCGGCGTGTGCGTGTGGGCCAGGGCTCGGGGCACGCTGGCCAAGAGGACATGCTTTTTTCCTCCCTCCCCCCGCCATCTATCTTTGACCAAAAGGGAGAGCTGGGAAAGGGGGACAGGTTGAGCCAAGATGAAGCGTTACCTCCGAAGTCCGGTCGCAAGCGAATGTCATATCCTTTGAGCAATCTGTCCACCGTCTCTTTCACGTAGGACATGTTGCTGGGCTCGTTGGCGCTGGAGGGAAGAAGTAGGGACCGTGTTCAACACGAGAACACACTGCGGGCAGACACAGAGAGAGACAGGCACACCTACCCCCGAGGAGCAAGATCCAGGATCCGGCGGGCATGGGAAAAGGAAAACACCAGCAAAAAAAAGAGAGAGAGAGAGAGATTCAGCAACAGCAGCTCACCTGTGTGCACAACAGACCATGGCAATCATCACAGGGAAAGAGAGCAGCCCCAGACTCTCTCGATGTTGTGCTGCCCACATTCCTAACTCTGGTGAAAGAATTGCCTTTTCTGCGAGGATTCAAGGAATGCAACTTACTCGGCGACTGGGCAGTGCTTCCCGGCGGGCCTGCGCATGCGCAGAGCGCGCTAGCCGCCAACAGCCACCTTGCGCCTGGCAGACGCTCTTCCTAGCGGAACAGGCAACAGATTTCCATCCCTTTAAAGTTCCTACTGGGGTGCTTCTTGTCCTTTGGGTAGGCAGAGGCCACCTGCCGTCTCCACGCAGGGGCTCCTAAGTGCCTGTGTGAACGGAGTTTTCTTCCTGCACTGGATGGAGGTTGCTGTGTTGACTCGTTTCCGTTCTGCCTCCAACCTGTTCGTTGGGGTTTTGAGGGGTTTGGAGTTTTTTTTATTTTGTTTGCTGGGAATCTGGCTAAAGCTGCCTGTGATTGGCATCTTTCGTGGATGGTCCTAGAACTGGGAGTCGGTGGGCGGGGTCTTCTCTGGTCGCCTGGGGGTGGGGGAGTGGAGGAAGGACTGGGGGCGGGAGAAGGTGGTGAGGCAGAGCCTGAGAATGGGCAGGCAAAAGCCAGAGGGAACTCAAGACTGATGTGGGGACTCTAGAAACCCAGTGCCCTTGGAAGGCGTCCTAGGACACCTGGCTTGGTGTAGACCTTCTCTGTAGGAGGGGGAAGAGGAGGGGCGGGGAAACTTTTCTTCTCCCCCTTCTAACTTTTCTGATCTCCCCCCAACTTTTCTGATCTCCCCTGTCATTTCTCTCCCTGGATGGGAGGTGAGGGAAGCAAGCCATCCTTTTCCCAGGGTCATCCGCTGCAAGCCCCACTTTTCCTCTAAGTTCTAGTAGAGAAAAATCTCTTTCCTAGGCTCTAGTAAGAAAAACCTCTTTTTAAAACTGCCAGCATGTTAACTGATATTAGTGCCTCCAAACAGAACCTGAAACCTCTGGTAGCCAGTACCAGCCAATCCTGGTTTTCTGCCAGTCTACAAATGTCATTGAGCACATGTTAGGCAGAAGGCCCTGAACTAGACATTTGTCCATTTGTTAAATAGCATATATTAAAATGTGTTTAATATATGCTATTTAACAAATGGACAAGCATCCCAGGAACTTCTGGGATTAGAGCTGACTTAAAGAGGACTCTTGACCTAGAGAAATTCACAAATGGCGATCACCGACACAAACATGGGTAAATTCAATGTGTCTGTGTCTGTCTCCCTCTCTCTCTCTCTCTCTCTATATATATATATATAGATATAAATATTTGTATATGTATAGCCACAGGATGGTTGATATTCACACCAGGGAGAGGTAGGTATAGATGGTCTCCAGAGGAGAAGAATAAGGCTTTTGGCCAGAGCAGGGAGGAAGGGGCATTCTAGAAGGAGAGACAGCATGTGCCAAATCCTGGAGACTTGAAAGAAAACAGTGTATGAGGGGTATCCCCCCCAATGGAATTATTTTTGGAGGACAAGCCCCTTGTAGTACAGGCTTCCCCTGCTAGGTAAGTTATCAAGGAACCCATGGGCATCAGTGTACGAGCTAGCATTGTGGTGACAGGCTGCATTCAACTTTATAATTTTTTTTTTAGATTCCTTCAATGCATTTGACCTTTTTTTGTTGGGTAATTTACCAGCACACCCGCCCCCACCACACTGAGTGTTCAGTAGTTTTTGAGCAAAAATTGGAATGACCCCCATCCTCGACCCTCCCTTTTCACTGAATCTCACCCGGTGACTTTTGTTTGTTTGTTTCCCTGAATGAAAAAAAGTCCTCAAAGGGAAACGTTTTGCTGACGTGGAAGAGGTGAAACAAAAAACAGCAGAAGCACTAAAAGGCATCAAAATCGATGAATTCAAACGTTGTTCTGAGTAGTGGAAAAAGTATCTTGGGTAGGCACATTGCAGAGTACAGAGAGTACTTGGAAGGTGACTGAAATTTAAGCATGTAAGAATAAATACACAATTTTTAATAAATAAATTCCTTAAAAATTTAGGGGGGCTCCCACTGTACTTCGATAAATGTACCTACGAATGACTGGTCAGGTCATAAGTGACAGGAGGGATGGTAGACAATGAGGCTACAAAGGGAAGTCGAGGCCACACTGTAAAAACAGTTACATCCACTGTATTTAGGCTCTGGAAATCACTGGCAGTTCTAAGTAAGGATGATCAGGATCAGAGTTAAGTGTTAGACAGAACACTGTAGAATAACCATAAGAACAATCAACATGTATCATTTGCTGATTATGTGGCAGTTATCATGCACATCCCACGGATTATCTCATTTAAACCTTACAACAACCCGAAAGTGGTACATATTATTATCTTCATTCTACAGAACAATGAAACTGACTAAATTACAGTGATGGAACTAGTTTAATATCAAACAGTCAATCAGTGGTAGGAACTGCATTTCAACCAAGATTCTGCATTTCAACTGCTCCCATAGGCTGTGAAGCCTGGACTCCAAGGGGAGAAACCAGACCGGGAAAACAAGAAGGAAAGGGGGTTATTGAAATATCCAAGGCAAAAGGAACTAAAGTCAGACAGTGGTTAGCTTGGCAAGGAAATGACAAACTAGCTCAAGCTTTCCGAAGTATAATGGGGAAACCAAATAGAAGAACTGGATGTGGGGACTTCTGAAAGTTTCCTGACAGTTGTCCAACCACTTACACATATGTAGGACTTGACATTCTACAAACAAATTACTTTTCTCATTTCAGCCTCACAACAACCTTAAGCACTGGGACCATTTATTGTGGGAACAAATACTGTTAATTAGGTTCTTTAATTTTTCAAAAAGGAGGTCAACTTTACCTTTTAAAATTCATATGTATCTGCTTGTATGGGTAAAAGGGATTTATGTATGCTTTAGGTCCTTGTTGAAGCATAGACCCTCTCAGCCTTGCTAACCAAACTTAATTAATAAATGAAGCATTTGACTTGGCGTTCACCAAGTATTTGTTTTTTTTTTAAATTGCTCTAGCTTTTATTGTAATATATGTTTTTTGGTTGGCTATAACCACAGTAATTATTTTTGAATAACAACCATAATTTGAGCTTGTAAGTTCTGCTGAAGAGTCAAGATGTAATTCTTGAATTAAGAAAGACTTTGTGGACTTGAATTCTGTTGTTCAGTGTGCTCCAGCGGGATCAATTCCACTGAGTTTTTGCTTTGAAATTATGCCTTCTATCACACGATGGGACAATTAGAAAAGTCAGGTGATACTCATTATATGAGTTACTGAGATGTCAGGGAGGGTGAAGCTCAATATATGTTTCAGTATCTTCTGTACAAGGACCTGAGTGAGAACATTTTTCCCAGACTTCAGTACTCTGAAAATTATCTTACTACCTGAATAGCTTATATCTTATGGACAGTAGGAATGCTAAAATTATAAAATTAATTGACTTCTGTATTTGCTTTGGCCACTGAGGATGTTAGAATCACATATATATCTATATATCGATCCATCTATCTATATATAGATTATATATATATATATAGAGAGAGAGTTAGTTTTAGTCATTATGTAAGATATTAATGACTTCCATTTTGATATATTACATTTCTCCCCAATGCCTTACCATTATAAATTTAATTTTCCTTTGTCACACTTCACTAATTTAAAAACAGATATGTTGTACTGAATAGAGTTTGTAAGCTGTCTTGAATAATTTTGGAAATACGTGTAAAATATATAAATTTAAAATTACTTGAAAATAAGTAAATAATTGAAAAATTTTTAAAAATAAACCTAGATCCAAATACATTGTAGGACTTTTTAAAACTTGAATACTTTATTCCTCTGTGTAGCTGCTTGTTTCTTTCTCACACCAATTCTCTTAATGAAGACCTTCCCCACTTCAAAGTTCAACTCAGTTTTCCTTCTCTTTCTCTTTCTTCCTCCCTTCCTCTTTCCCTCCCTTCCTGCCTCCCTCCTTACCTTCTTCTCTCTCTCTCTCTCTCTCCCTCTCTCTAGTTTTTTTCTTTTTCTTTTTCTTTTCCTTTTTTTGAAAGCCAATGCCAGTCCCTAATCCTATAATCTGCTGCTTACTCTTATGGGGGGAAAATGAAGATCCTAAAAATTTGCATCTAACTAGGACGGAAGTGTCTCAAGGTCAAGAACTTCACACATGTTTTTAATATTCCCATATTTCTCAGCAAGAAAACATAATGGAAAAGTTATTCCATACAATAACAGAAAAAAATTCTAATGCACTTAGGAATAACCGGAAAAAAAAATGATGCACAAGACCTTTATAGAGAATTTATATCACATTATTGAAAGGCCCAAAACAAGACCTGGATCAATGGCAATTGTGCCACATGCCTTGCTAGGAAAACTCAACATTGTAAAGATGTCAAGACCATTCAGTTGAAGGAATATAACCAATTTGAATGAAATTTCTACATTCAAAATGGAAATTAAAAAAAAAAACTAATTCTAAAGTTCAAATGAGAGAATTAAGGGTCAAAAAAAAAGTCAAGAAAATTTAGAAGAAGGAAAAAGAGAATATGAGATATCGTTTTATTATTGAGCTACATAAACATTGAATCAGTTTGTGTTTGGTTTGCAATTCGTGTAGATATTTTTTTTTTTAAGTACAACCAAATAAAGATCATGGGAATAGTCCCCTATTTTGGGAAAAGATAAACTATTCAAAAAGTTTTGGGAGACAATTCATTATTCACAAATAAAAAGAAGTAGATCCTTACAAAAACACACACAAATATATTAAGGTAAGGTAGATAGATAATTTAAATATAAAACCCAAGACTTCAAAACCTTAGCAAAACTATACATATAGGAGAATACCTTTATGATTTCAGTATAGGGAAAGATTTAAAGATGAACAAAAGCTACATTAAAATGTAGCCTTCTTTAAATCTGAAGAATCGTATGATACACTGAAAAGTCAATTTACACATAGAACATGTTTTCAGCAACTTTAACCACCAGATTTGTATAAAGAAACTACCAACAACAAAAAAATCCTCCAGAGTAAATAAGAAAGAAAGTAAAAAGTCACTCAAAATAAGGACTTGCAAATTAAAGCAATAATACACCATTTCTAACTCACCAGATATGCAAAATTTAAGAATGCCAAAAATTCGATGAAAACTTGCCTATGCTTTCAGTATACATAGATATTTACTTAATCACTCTGTACGGCTCATAGACTATATCTGGTGAAGTCAAAAATGCATATGCCCTTTGACCCAGAATTTCTAAGAATATACCCTAATGATACCTTTATGCAGTTTAGGAGTGTTCATTGCAGTGTTGTTTTTAATAGTGCAAAAGTGACAACAATTTTTACCAATTAGGAATTAATAACTAGGAATATAATCA